TTAAATTTTTACATTGGCAAATTGTTTTTCTTTTTTTCTTCTGGTAGACGTTTGTAAGTTTAAATTTTATATTATGAATAATTAAATGATGAATGATTTAGATATCAAAAACAAAAATTTTTGATTTTTATAATTTTTTTTTTTCAAAAGTTCTCAGTTTTTATTTTTTAAATTGCATGATTTAATTGAATTTTATGTAATCAACTAACTCAGATTCTTCATTTTTCTTTTTTCTTTCTTTTTGAATGATAAATTGGAAAAGAATGTTCATTATTTACATTTTTATTCCTCATACAATTAGAATTAATTCATATCTATGAAATAATAATTAACAAGTATTGAGAATTAATAAATAATTTTGAGATAATTATAGGTCAAACATGGCCTCCAAAAATATGTACCGCCAGCTACCAAAATTTTCCTTGGTGATAATTTTCGTAAATTGTGGAATGATGTACAAGAATTGAAGGTAGCACGAACACGTGATTGGATACCTGGAATGTCTGACGATGATATTTGCATTGCTAGTGAAAAAGTTAATGAATATATACAGGTAATGAGAATATGATTGCTTCATTACTGTAAAACAATTATTACGATTACTGTAAAACAATTATTACGGTAAAGCTATGTTACGGTAAAAGCACAATTTCATATAACATTCTTTCTTTTATGTTCAACATTTCAATGAAGTATAAACATAATAGAATGCTTTTAAATATCATTTTAAAATAACGAGAGTGCAATAGAGTACAGTATCCTCTGAGGCAATGTGAAAGCGATGCGGTAGCATTATAGGTTACGGTAACGCAAAAACAGTAAGAATGTCACAGAATACAGTACTTTCTAATGTGATATGGAAAAAAAAATAGAATACATCAAAAATATGATTTTAAATCAATATTAGTATCAATATAAAATTATTTTTAAGCAATATGAATACGATAGACCAACCGATGAATTAACAGATGATGAATTTCTTGAGCAATTACTATGGCATTCAAAAAGACGTGGTGAAGCATTCCTGAAGTCAATCCCGACAACGCTTTTTTTTTATAATAGTATGCGAGAATGTATGAAAAATGAAAAAGGCATTTATTTAATTATTGATATGTATGCATATCGTAAAGCTGCTCATAAATATCGTATTATGTAGAAAAATTAAATATGATAAGTATTTTTTTAAACAAAAAAAGTAAGTGGTAGTGGTTGTATCTGTTTCTATTAATGTTGTCTCTTTTCAAAAAAAAAAAAAAAAAATGGAAAAAATTTTTAGAAAATTAAAATAATGATAGCGAGAATCATTTTATTGTTAGTCGTAGTAATGAATATGTAATTATTGTAGTTATTGTAATTATGTAATTATTGTTTGTGGTATGAAGAAAAAAAGAGCTAAGAAAAGTACAACATAAAATATTGTCAAATATTAAAATGATATTAGAACTAGATTAATTGGAATAGTATTTAGTGTAATAGTGAATGAATAAAGTTATATTACAAAGTAGTTAAATCTCAAATATTATAAATTATAATAAATGTTTTATTTAAATGTTTGAATCAACTGAAAAATAAAACTAAAAAAAAAAATTATCAGACTTCATAAAAAAAATGAAAACACAAATTACCATTGTTATCATATCAATAATTTCAGTATCACTGATATTCAACAATTTCTATAAATCAGTTCACACTGACAATAGATTCATCTGTAATACCAAATCAATCAAAAAAAAAAAAAGACAAATTAAAAAAAAAAAATTAAAAAACTATGATAATTTAAAAGAAAAGAAAAAATACTTATTTTTGCTCTTCAAAATATTCTTTTAAAAAATCCTAAAAAAAAATTATCTAATCTTACTGAAAATGTAATAAAAATACCAAGAATAAAATAATATAAAAATAATAATTAAAAAATAAAATAGCAACAAAATACATAGGAAATTATTAGAAAGAAGGAAACATATATAACCATTAATTTGATTATTTTAATGAATGATAACATTTCTAGAATTTCTCTTTGAACTCTATGATCGATCAAGAAAATACATTTACCGAAAGAAAATCAAAAAATTTTTAAGATCAAAAATTAAGCAAAAAAAGATCGTTTCAATAAGTAAACAACAATTTAGTTTGATATTTTTTATTCATTCATTTTTCAAAATGTGCTCGTTTTTTTTTCTTTTTTCTTTTTAACTGTTCAAATTTGTTTAACATAGGAATGTGTTCATCTAAAATAATCTGAAATTAATCACTCGTAGTGACATATTTATCTTTTCCGAATAGCAATTTTATTAATTTTATTTTAAACATAAAAATTAATAAGAGGATTAACTAAGCAATTTGAGTTGCATTCTATTTATTATCATTAATTGTAACACTATTAAGTATTATTTAAATTTGAACTTCATAAAAGTTTTCAACAATCATATAGAATCTATTTTTTTTAATATTTAATCATATAGAATCTATTTATTATCATATTATCATAGATTTATTATCATATTACATCATTTGGAATCTATTTATTAAACAATAATTGATGTGATTTTACAAAAAATTTTTGCTCTTATATAATCAAAAATTAAAATGGTTATTAAAATGATAAATTTTAAAATAATTATTTTATCAGCCAAAAATTGAAAAGAATTTTTCATATGAACGAAAAAAAAAAAGAAATAATCATTAAATCACTTTTGTACTGTCAAAAAATAACAAATCTGAAGATAAATAGAAAAAATGAAGCAGCAATTTGTGTAAATTTAATATAAATGTAAAATAAAATATTTTTATTTGTTTTAAAAAAGTCTTATAATTTTCATTTTTCAAAACATTTTTTTTTTAAAAAATATATTTGTATTTTCTTTTTTAAAAAAATATTCTTATATAAGAAATATTAAAAAATAATTATTGATGTTATATGTCATTGAAAATGTAAAAAAATGACACTTTTTAGAGACGTTCCAACGATATATCTGAAAATTAAGAAAATAATTTTTGTCGAAAATACGAAAAAAGTTTTTAAAGTTTTTGTTGCATAATTTCTTAATTCATTAAAATTGTTGTAAAATCAAAAATTTTTTTTTCACTTTTTCATTTTTTTTGTCATTCTGATGGTATTTTACAAAAAAAAAAAAAGAAAAGTGAAATGAAAGAAAAGAAAAAAAGGAAAAGCAACAAATATTCATTAATCATAAATTAAAATTAATTTTCATTAATTAGTTTTTAAAATTTTCGCACTTTCATCCATTTGTATTTCTATCTTTTTCCTTTTTATCTTTTATTTCTGTTTATTTAATAAAATAGAACAGAAATTCAAAAAAAAAAGTTTCGATTTTTTATTTCTTTTGTTTGTTCATTCATTTGTTTTGTTTCCTTATTTTCCATTTTATTTTCTCATTTTTTTTTTTATATTCACATTTCATTTCTGTTTTAATTTATTAAATGAATATTTTAAAATAAAAATTTATTAGTAATTGTTAACAATTTATTGTTTTAGTAAATTCATACTATAAAACTATTGCTAAATTGTAGCATTTTATGATGTAATAAAAATATTAATAAATGAAGTATTTAATTTCCAATTAATAATTTCCAAAAATTTTTTAATGGAAAATTTTTGCATATATAAAATGAATAAAAAAAAAAAAGCTGATTTTGATATCATTGTATAACATTGCCAACCTGAATTGAAAAATCATTTTTAATAATTTTATTTGTAATAATTATAATTTCATTTAATTAAAATAACAACAACAAAATTCTTAATTACCATTTTCAAATTTTGATTTCAGACAATATTTTCTTATAATTTATAATTTTTAAAATTTTACAATTTCTAGGTAGAAAAAAAAAAGAAAAAGAGGAAAAGAATGATGTAAAAACCATTTTGGTAAGAATTTTTTATCATTTCTGTGACACATTGACCTAAATTAAATGTCACACAAAATATATTGAATCATTGAATTGGAAGTTTTATTTTTTTTTTTTTTTAAATGAAAAATGTTAATTTTGTCTAATTTTTTGAAATAGTTTATATTTTCACAAAAAAAAAAAAATTTTACATAAAAATGTCCTAATTTTATAGACGAGTATGAAGAATTATATATATTGTAAGTTTGAAGCATTTTATACTTTTTCCTCAAATAATTATCCTAAAACTTGTTTTACTGATAATATAATTATTTATTAAAAAAAAATGATTTAATTTAGAAAAGAAAAAAACATATCAGGTTATTAAATTTTGTATTTAAACATACATTTCATTCATTAAAAAATAATTACATTATCAATTGTTATCATAATAATAATCAAAATTTAAGACTGAAAATAAATTTTTTGATTTTATCAAATTTTTTTTTATTAATATTATTTCCTTTTCTTTTTTTGTTGTAACATTTATTGCATTCAATAATTAAAATTTCATTTAATATGTAATAATAGTCTCATATTTAATTTTAATTTATAAAAAAGGAAGAAAAAATTATTTTTAATTTTTCCTTGTTGAAATTAAGTCTTTCAATTTTATTTTATAAAGCAAATTTAGCACTAATATTTTTCAAATTGTGTCATTTTTTTTTTGTATTTATTCGATTCGCTCAGTTATTTGAATTTAACATTTAAAATATTAAATTTAAAAAGTTAACTTTAAACTGTAAGATTATTCTAGTGATGTGCTTCATTAGATTAATTACAAATTCTTCCTAAATATATTATAATCTAATAGCAAAATTAAATATCTCAAAAATTAATTAGCACATTTAATTGCTTTTGTTAAACAATATTTTGGTTTCACTTTTTTCTTCTCATTAATTAATTAATTAATTAATTAACGATTTTATTTATTTGCTATATTCATATTCTATCATTTAATTTTATGATAATATTCAATTTGTGCTTTTTAAAATTTTTTTTTTTTTTCGTTTGAGAAAAAAAAAAGAAAAGATCACAGATTAATATTTCAAAGTTATTTCAAATTTGATAATATAAAATTTTATTTTCAGATGTCACCAAAATTATGCATTTGGATATTATTACAAATTATTATACTCAATGGATATGCTGATAAAACAGCGGAAGAAAGTAAAATTTAAATAACAATTTTAATAATTCAATTTTTTATTTATTTTGTATAATAATTTTAATAATTCAATTTTTTATTTATTTTGTATAATAATTTTTAATAATTCAATTTTTTTTTTATTTAACTTATAGAATAAATACAATAAAATAAGTTTTATAAGACATATTAATTAGTAATTTAAGTTAATCACTCATTTTTTTTTATGAAATATTTCATTAATTATTTTCATCTTATGAGTTTCGTTTTTTTGTTGTTTAAATTTTACATCATAGAATATAATTTCAATATGGTAGAAAATTAAATAATTGGTTTAATGCTTAATAACAAAACTAAAATTTATTTTTTTAAAAATTTTGCAAAAAAAAAAAAGAAAGATGACAGAAACTTTTTTTTCGAGAAAAGAAAAAATTATTAGAAATTGTCATTTTTCAAAGAATAAAAAAAATAAACAATTATAAAAAATTTATTCATCAAATTATTACATTAACAGATTCAATTCCAATTCAATTCAATTTTACTTTTTTCAATTTTTTAATTTTTAAATTTTAAATTTTAAAAATTTTTAGAAACGATTGATAAAATACTTTTGAATGCATTCAATGATGCACGACAAAATATCGATGAACTTAAACAATTTTATGATGAATCAATTCTAACACAAAGTATAAATTGAAATTTAATTAATACTTTAGAAAAACAAAAAAAAAAAAAAATTAATTCAAATGTGTTATTTCAACAATTCTTTCTTTCATTTTTTTTATTTTGTTTTTCCTAAAATAAAGTTTAAAATTAATTAATTAATTAATTAAATTTATTAAAAAAGAAAAAAATTATAGATGTAATGGAACAAATACAAATACCATTTAAAATATGGAATTTGTATACAACAAATCAATTAAATGCTCAAAAATTATCACATGCTGCACTTCTCTCAATTTCTGCTACTAAAAAATTAAAAAAGTTTATTTTAATTTCTTTTTTTTTAGGTATTTTAATAACTTTGCAGTAAATTTGTTAATTTTGAATAAATAAAATTTTAAAATTTAAATAAATTTTGAACTTTTCTAAACGGTCAATTTTACATTTTTTTTTTTTTTGTTATTTTGAAATGGAAAGCAAAAAAAAAAATTTATACATTGTAAATTTGATCAAAAAAAAAGTGTTTAAAATTTTGACTATTTAATTAATCATTTCGAAATTAATATGAATTAATTTTAAATTTAGTCTAGAATCTTTTTTTTTTTGTTAATATCACAATAATAATAATAATATCAATCGATAATGATGAAAAAACTTAACACAAAAATTTCAAATTTCTCCATTTTTTTTTTTGAAAATTTGCAGTTCAATTTAAATAATTTTAATTTTTGTTTAATTTTTTTGTATTTTAAATTTTTCTTTCTGTAACATTTATAAATAACAAATTTTTCCTTTTTTATATAACATAAACAAACATCAAAATATTTTTTTTTTGCTTAATGCTTGATAATAATTAATAATTTTTAAATTAATAATTAAATTTTACAATTCTTTTTTGTTTTTCAGTGATGGCATTAAAATAGATAATAATTTACCAATTATTTTAAAATATATTAATGAGTACTGTCCATTAAATGAAATTAAATGTACCATTAGTAAATATCGCACCATTGATGGTACCTGCAATAATATTATTCATTCAAATTGGGGCGCTATTGGCATGCCAATGCAACGTATCATTGAACCATTTTATGCTAATGGTTATTTTCTCTTTTTAATTTATAATTTCTAAATTTTTAATTTTATATTTTTATTTTTAATTTATAATAGCTAACTCCTTAATTTATAATACCCAAATTTTTAATATTTAATTCTTATTTTTAATTTATAATACCTAAATTTTTAATTTTCATTTTTAATTTATAATAGCTAAATTTTTAATTTTTAATTTTCATTTTTAATTTATAATAGCTAAATAATAAAATTGTCATATTTTTATTACATTTATTTCTCATAATTTTATTATAAACACTAAAATTATTATATTTTTTTAAATACTATTATTATATTTCTTTTTTTTTTCAAAATGATAAATAAAAAAGTGAATTTTATGATAAAATATTGAAAAAATGAAATACTTAAATAATAAAAATAGGACTTATGATTAATTATTTATGTAATTGAAAATTTAAATAGAATTTTTCGATTACATAAATATATAGAAAAATTATAAAACGTATATTAATGTAATAGGAAATTATAAATGTATTAATTAATTTAGTATAATCAATAATTGATTGATTGACTAATTTATTAAAATTTAATTATGAATAATTCTTTAGTAAATATCTTAAATTTTAAATAAAATATTGGCTGTATAAAAAAATGATCGCTTCATCGGATTTCTAAAGAAATACTACAATTATTGTTATTATTGTTTATTGTTACTATCATTGCTATTTATGTTAATTTTATTGTCATTGTTATTGTTTTATTGAAACTGCTATTTGTTATTCTTATTGTTACTACTATTTTGTGTTATTGTTTTATAGACATTGTTGCTTGATATTTTCATTGCTACTATTATTGTTATTGTCCTTAATATTACTGTTTGCTGTTGTTTTTGTTATTTTACATATAATTAATTGCTCTTATTGTTATCATCGCTTTTCTTAATTATATTGTTATTGCTATTGTTTATTAATTGCTTTCATTTAGAATTCATTTTTAAATACCAAATTTAAATAGCCAAATAAGTTAGAATTAAATTTCAAATAATCTTTTATTTCTGTTTATATAATAAATTTATGTAGTAAATTTATAAATTATTGATTCTAACAATAATATTTTATAATAAAAAAAATGCACAAAAGAAAAATTAATGCACAAAATTTCATTTCATTTATAAATTTTAAATATAAATTAAATATAAAATATATTAAATATAAATATAAATATAATTATATATCAAAAAAAAAAAAATTGCCTCACAATTTTATATGCAAATTTAATGTTAAAAATTTAATATATGATTGATGGTATGAATTAATCGCATATCTTTTTAAAATTCATTTTCTTTTTGCTATGTATAAGTTTAAAAATTATAAGTTCGAAATTTTAATTAAAATAAAAATCAAAAAGGAAAAAGAAAAAAGATTATTATTATTATTAAAAATTATATTTTAGGAATTGATGAATTGCGTAGATCAATTATTGACAACAATGAATTACCAAATGTTTTACATTTATCAAATTTATTTTTCATGATGAATCATTCAACAGCATTAAATATAAATATGCTAAATGCGCTTTGGGCGCATTTTATTTACACTGATTTAGTACATACCAGTAGTCTTCAATTATTAACAGGTTTGAATTAATAATTTGCTTTATTTTTAATTATTTTTAAAATTCATACTACAAAATAAAAACAAAAAAGAAAAATTCTATATAATATTACTAAATTAATTTGCATAATATTAAGGGATAGTATTTATTGATTGATTTGAATTAAGATAAATTATTGTTTACTATTTAAAAGATAAATTATTGTTTACATATCAAAACCCATAATTTTTAGATGAAGTGGAAATTTTATTACCATGTTGTGGAACAAAATTTAAGCAACATTCAGAATGCAAACCAATTATGGTACCAAAAAATGATCCTAACTATAGTAATTTACCTGATTGTTTACCATATACACGTACCGCTCCAGCACCACATCCTAATTGTAAATTAGGTTCACGTGAACAAGCTAATCAGGTTACGAGCTTTCTTGACGCTAGCATTATTTATGGTACTACCATACAACAAGCACGTGCTATACGAACATTTAAAAATGGTAAGTATTATATTTTTTAATTTCTTCATTAAAGTTTTCCTAAGATTATTATCATTAATTTTTTTTTTAATAAAAAATAAACAAAAAAATAAAGTTAGAAAAAATGCGTCAATTTTTAACGCATTTATTTCAAAAATATTTTCATATGAAAACACAATAAAATTTCCGTGATAAAACGTAACGTAAAAATTTTTACGCAATAATGCGTAAATAACATTTTAAAAGTTTGGAATAATCAAAAAAGGAAACTTATGCAATCGTTAGATAATTAATTAATTAATTAATATTTGTATATAAATGGGAACGAAATTAATTATTGTTGTTGTTGTATAAATTTTAAATAAGAATAAATATTAGACTAAACATTCTATAAATCTTTCATCTTCTAATAAGTAATCATTTTTTTAAAGAAAAAAAAGATAAATAAATAAAATAAGAAATTAAAAAAACAATTTAGTATTATAAAAATAAATATAAAAAACAAATGAATTAAAAATATCAGCTAATGATTGATTTTAATTATCATTTTATAATTTTTTTAATTATAAAAAATTTTTTACTAGAATAAAAACGCATATGTGTATAAATTATCACAATTGATATAATTAATTTTTGTTAATTTATTATGAAAATTAATTAAAATATTAATAAATTATTAAATGAATATTACTATAACTATAATTATAGTTATTTCAGGTCATCTATTAACAAATTTAAATTTAATGAATTCGAATATTCCACCAACAATTAGCACATTTTGTAATTTATTACAAATAACAATTGCTAATTGTGATTTAACAAATAAATATTATTCATTGAATTCAAATCATTTAAATTTCTTACAATCTATTACCATTCTTCGTAATATTTGGTTACGTCAACATAATCGAATTGCTACTAATTTAAAGGTAAATTTATTATTTATTTATTTATTTTTTAAATTTCATTTTTTAGTTTTTAATTTTTATACTAAATTTTAATCAACAAAACAGAAAAATAAAAGATGAAAAGAAAATATTCAACATCAAATTATACTTATTAATTTTTTTTTTTATTTTTATTAATAAAATAAGTGTAAAGTGATTGTTTTCATTAATTGTCATTAAATTGAATTAATAAATAATTATAATTGTAAATAATTAAATAATTTTTTATTTACATTTAGCAAAAAAAAGGTTACAATAGAGAAATTAATTTTTGTAATTGGTAATTATAAAATATATTAATAAACTTTAATTTAATTATAAATTTACTTTGTGGCTTTTTGATTTTCTGATAGATGGAAAATGTAACAAAATAATCAAAACAAAACATTGATAATAATTTTAATTAATCCATTTGTAAATGTTCAAAATTATCAATGATTAAAATTAATTTCATATCAGAATTGAAAGACACAAAATAGATTTCAATTTTTTTCTCATATTTTATTTTGTATAATAGATACAAAGTTATCATAATAATTTCAAAAATTGGCAACTATTAAGATGAATTTAATTCCATAAAATACAAATATTAAATGATTTTTATTTTTTTTCTTTTTGCTTTCTTTTTGATTCATTAATAAATTAATTAATATTATTTTTAATTTAAAATGAATTATCGATTATAAGCTTTCAAAAATTAGCAAACAATTAAGATTAATTTTCATATCAAAAATATAAAATACAAATAAAAATATAAATATATTAAAAAATAAAACTTTTTCTCCCAATTTTTATTAATTATTAATTAATAGTTTATTTTTTTTTAAAATAAAATTTTTAGATTATAAATTCACATTGGTCCGATGAACAATTGTATGAAGAAAGTCGACGAATTGTAATTGCTCAATTACAACATATTACTTTTAATGAATTTTTACCAAATTTAATTGGCAAAAAAAATTGGTTAAAATTTAATTTACAATCAGAAAGAATTGGATATAGTAATAATTATAATGATAATATTGATTCAACTATTATCAATACATATGCTACTACTGCTGGACAAGTTTATTTTATTTCATTTCTTAATTTTTTAAAATTAATTAATTAATTAGTTGGTAATAGATTTCTAAAAATTTTCCATTATTCTTATTCGATTATAATTGAAATTAATAGTATAATGAATATTTTACTTTTTTGAATTTTTAAATGACTTCAGTATTATTATTATTACAAAAAAATTTGATAACATTAAGATTTGTTTTTTATTTTTTTTTTCATAGATAAATTAAGAAAAATTAAAATTTAAAAATGTACATTTGAAAATAATAGTATAATAAATATTTTACTATTAAAATTTTTAAATGATTTCATTACTATTATAAAAAAATTTGATAACATTAAGATTTGTTTTTTTTTTTCATGGATAAATTTAAAAAATAATAAAAATTTTTTTTTCTAAATTTATAATTATATGTTTACACTTTGATTTTTGTTTCTCTTTGCCTTAATTTGATGAAATTTTAAAATATTATTTTTTACTTTTACAGTTCTTTGTCACAATGTTTGGCAAATATTTTCAATGGCATAAAAATGATGGCATTAAAATACTTGAACGATCATTAAATGAATATTTTAATGATCCCGAATTACTTTTTTCAAAAGATCAAACTAGAGATTTACTAAGGTATGCTTATATTTATTTATTTGTTTATTTATTTATTTAGTTGTTTATTTGTTGTCTTTTGATATGATAATCAATAATATAAAGATATATTGATGAATTGAAATTAATTCTTTTATTTTTATACGATTGGATAATTTTTTTTTTACTTAAAAACAAAAACTACGAGAATGAATGATTAAAAGAATTTACTAAAATAATATTTTCTATTATACAAATTATAAAATATCCAATTAATCATTCTAAATGATAAATAAACAAAAGGAAAAAAAAAATGATTCTAAAATTTTTATTATTACTCTAAGATTTTATTTAAGAATATGAAAATAAAAAGCAATAGAGAAATGAATTAAAATAAAAATTATAAATTACTAAAATAGAAATTATAAAATTCAATTATTTTAATTTTAGGTACTTATTACGTGAACCAATTAATGATTCACTAACGTATACAAATGATAAATTTTATAATAATTTTTTTAAAAGAAACAAAAATTTGGCATCTGAAATTATTGCATTAATTTTACAAATGGGTCGTGATCATGGCATACCACCATATACTGTATGGCGAGAATATTGTGATGGTAGTAAGGTTAAAATTATTTCAAATTTTTACAAATTTAATATAAACATATAAAAACAAAAAGAAAAAAATTTATTTTTTTCTTTTTTAATGCTTAGAATTAATAAAATTGAATTCTGGTTTAAAATAAATTATCATAAAATAAAATTGAATTTGTTTAAAATATCTATGTATTGAAAAAAAAAAAAAAAGAAAATTTTTGTGAAAGAATCGTTGAATGAATTCAATTTTAATTTGTGATTTTCTTTAAACAAATTTAATTTTATTTTATAATCGATCTTTTTTTTTTAAAAAAATAGATTCAATCATTTGATGATTTAATGGATGATTTAATCGATGGAACAGAAATGATAAAAGAATTATCAAAATTATATAAAACAGTGGATGATATGGATTTATTTTTGCTTGGTTTAATTGAAAAACCATTAAATGATTCAATTGTTGGACCAACATTTAGTTGTATTATTTCATTACAATTTCAAAAGGTTTTTTTTTAATTTCTTTTTCTTTTACTATTTTTATATTTTTTGTTTTTCTTTTTTAAATTTTAATTAATTAACTTTTAAAATTTATCATTTTTATTGAACAATCGTAATTTAATAAATAGTTTATTAATTCGTAAGTTAGCGATAAAAGAAAAGAAAACAAACAAACAAACCATTTAAATATACAATTAGATGGAATAATAGTATAAAAGATAAAAATGCAATTAAAATTTATGATTTATTATATTATTTAAAAATTTCAATAAGTTAATTATTAATTTGTTAACTAATAATTTGCATAAATTTTAGACAAAAACTGGTGATCGCTACTGGTATGAGAATAATTTTGAAGAAATACGTTTTACTGATGAACAATTGATGGAAATTCGAAAAATAACAATGGCAAAAATATTTTGTAACAATGTGAAATCATTTGATAAAATTCAATCAAAAGTATTTGAATTAGAGAATAACTATGAGTAAGTAAATGCAAATTTTTTGTTAATATATTAAAAATTAAGAATATTCTTTTATAAAATCACTATAATATAATGATTTTTGTTAAAAAATCACTATAATAAGGAATGATTTTTATCAGTTTGTGTAGTTTTTCTTAAAAAAATTTGAATTAGAGAATGACTATGAGTGAGTAAATGCAAATTTTTTGTTAATATATTAAAAATATAAAAATATTCTTTTATAAAATCACTATAATATAATGATTTTTGTTTGCATACATAATTATTCTTGCAAAAATTTCAATAATTTTAATCAAAAATTTCTTAAGCAATTATCCAATTTACTGCAATGAAACAGTACACGCAGATACGAATATTGCTAAATGGCTTGATAAATCAAATTATAAATTAAATTTACCATTAACAGAGGAAAATATTGAGAAAGCAATAGAAATTGCTATAGAAGGCGTTAAGCAACGTCAAAAACGTGAACGACGTAATATACGAAAAAGTATTAAATTTATTTTTTAACTTTTATTTTTATTACTGCATCGAAATAATTAGATTTAAAATTAATTATTTGTATAGAAAGTAAGAAATTAATTAATAAATCCTATGTGTGTTTTGTATATTGTAATTTTTATTTAATTACTGAGCTTATAATAAATTAATTTAATTTAATTCTAATTTAAAATATTTTATATACTTCACATATAATCACTTTGTTTGTGTAATATAAAATAGTTTGTTTTTAATTATTTGTGCAATAATTAGTTTTCTTAATTATTTGTAGTAATTGTTCTTAAATTTCATTTAAAAAAAGAGCAAAAACTTAAAATTTTTGTGCTGCTTTAAGATTTTAGAATTTTTGATAATTTAAATCTGTTATAATATAATATTAAACAATTTGATATTTTATTAAAAATTAAATTTTGATATTTCTAGATCAAGATTTATTTAAATCTGATGATCCATTACTATCATTTTTAGATCAAGATTTGTTTATATTTGATGACCCATTACCATCATTTTTAGATCAAGATTTGTTTAAATCTGATGACCCATTACCATCATTTTTAGATCAAGATTTGTTTAAAACTGATGACCTATTACCATCATTTTTAGATCAAGATTTGTTTAATCTGATATTAAATCATTTTTAGATCAAGATTTGTTTAAAATTAATGATTTTGATATTTTTAGATCAAGATTTATTTAAATCTGATGATCCATTACTATCATTTTTAGATCAAGATTTGTTTAAATTTGATGACCTATTATCATCATTTTTAGATCAAGATTTGTTTAAATCTGATGACCTATTACCATCATTTTTAGATCAAGATTTGTTTAAATCTGATGACCTATTACCATCATTTTTAGATCAAGATTTATTTAAATCTGATGACCTATTACCATCATTTTTAGATCAAGATTTGTTCAAATCTGATGATCCATTACTATCATTTTTAGATCAGGATTTGTTTAAATCTGATGACCTATTACCATCATTTTTAGATCAAGATTTGTTCAAATCTGGTGATCCATTACTATCATATGGTAAAATGATGAGAGCAAAGAATGAAGCAATTGCAATTTCTCGAGTATCTGATGTTTTCTTACAAGCTACCAAAAATATTTTATCTAAGTAAGCTTATCAATCTTTTTTTTTTTTTTTATCATAGAATTTAATAAAAATTTATTGGTTTAAAAAAAATGAAAAAATTAATAATCGCTAATTTAATAAGAAATAATTTGATAAAAATTTATTTGTTATTATAGCATTGGAACAGAAAATAATAAAGAATTGCTAGGAGAAGTGAATGATATTAATGAAATGCAAAATTTATTACAACAAATCGACGTCAGCTCGTTAGTTTTTTCCACAGGTCTTTTTTTTTTTTTTTTTTGTTTTAATTTTAATTTTAATTGAAAAAAAAAACAATATTTAAAGAAATATTTCTGCAAGAATTTGAGTATAAATTTTAGTTAAATTAAAAAATTTGAATGCTTTAAATAAAGATTACCATTGAATTTATTGTTTGATTGTTTCAAAAGCAATATAATTTTTTTATTATCACAACTAATTAATATTAATAAATTCAAAAAAAAAACTAATAAAATTTTTTTTTTTTTTAGATGAATTATAAAATTGTTTAATTTGTTAGCAAAATTTTGATTTAAAAAAAAAAGGGAGAATGTAACAAAATATTAAATTATATGTTTACATTCATTTTCAATAAATAAAGAATATATAAATAGTTTTGCTCTGTTTTTTTTTTCTTTTTTGATTTTTAAGATTGAATTTTAGATTTATTAGCAGAATTGAACCATTTCTTGGACGCGGTGGTTCGGTGGAAAAATGTTTACCTCGAAATTTACCATGCGATGATGTGACACGGTATAGGACAATGTCCGGTTGGTGTAACAATCTTCAAAATCCTCGTTTTGCTAATGCATTTGGTCCATTAATTCATCTTCTACCACCAGCATATGACGATGGTTTGCTTTGCTTTTTTTAATTTTCAAAAAAAAAAAAATATTAGAAAAGAAAGAGAAAAAAAAATTCAAAATGTATAAAATAAGTTGAAAAGGAAAAAAACCAAAAAAAAAAAGAAACCAAAAGCTAAATGATAGTATTATAATTATGATAGTAAAGTAATAATTATATTCATCTCAAAAATGAAAAATTTTAAAATTGTATTATTTAAAAAATTTTAAATTCTCTTAAAAGATAGTATTTATAATGCAATTAATATTATTAATTTTTTATCGCCTATTTAATTTTTTCATTTATTTTTTTACTACTATATAATATGATTAATATTATTATTTTATTTGCTTGATATTATTTTATTTCTAATTAATATTATTATTTTATTTGACTGATATTATTTTATTACTAATCAATATTATTATTTTATGTAATTAATATTATTTTATTGGTAATTATTATTATTTTATGTGATCAGTGTTAATTTATTACTAATTAATATTATTATTTTTTTCTAATTTTAATTACGAGATTTAATTATTATAATTAATAGCTATACTGTAATTATGCATTTCTTTTTGAAATCATTTTCTTTCAAATCATTTTATGCATTTGTTTTTCATATAAAATTAACAATGATATTATCAATAAAAATATTATATTAATGAATTAAAATTATCAATAAAAATATTATATTAATGAATTAAAATTATCAATAAAAATATTATATTAATGAATTAAATGAATAAAAATATTGCATTATTGAATTAAAATCAATAAAAATATTATATTAATGAATTAAAATCAATAAAAATATTATATTAATGAATTAAAATTATCAATAAAAATATTATATTAATGAATTAAAATTATCCATAATATTATCCATTTTGTAAAAAAAAATAAATAATAATTTTAGGAATCGATATGCCACGATCAAAATCGATCACTGGTGATTTACTACCATCAGCTCGTGTAATTTCAAATGCAATACATTTTGATTTACCAATTACTTATCAAAATTATAGTCATATGATTATGCAATTTGGACAAATTCTCGATCATGAATTAACACATTCACCTATCGAACATGGTAATTAAATTAATTTAGAAATTAACAGTTTTATGTATGTAATAAATAATTTCACGAATAATAAAAAATATTTATCAAAAAAATATTTTTCAAAAAAAAAAAAAAAAAGTTAAAATTTTAATAATACATCTATGAAATCATTTTTTTAAATTCCTTTCAAAAAATCTAATAATAACAAGTATGATATTATAATATATTTATTTATTATTTATTAGCAATTACAATTATTAAATTTTTGCAAAATGAAAAATTATTTTGTTTTTTTTATGATTTTTATGATAATATTTTCATGATTATTAATTTTTATGATGATATTTTTCTACGATAATTTGGTAATTAATTAATCATTTAATTAATTAATTAATTCATTAAGGGACCAGATAATGAAATATTGAATCCTTATTAATAAACAATTACAATTATTAATTTTCATGATGTTATTTCTCTATATTAATTAATTAATTACTTAATTAATTAATTAATTAAAGGTCCAGATAATGAAATATTGAATCCTTATTAATAAACAATTACAATTATTAATTATCATGATATTATTTCTCTATATTAATTAATTAATTACTCAATTAATTAATTAAAGGTCCAGATAATGAAATATTGAATCCTTATTAATAAACAATTACAATTATTAATTATCATGATATTATTTCTCCATATTAATTAATTACTTACTTAATTAATTAATTAAAGGTCCAGATAATGAAATATTGAATCCTTATTAATAAACAATTACAATTATTAATTATCATGATATTATTTCTCTATATTAATTAATTAATTACTTAATTAATTAATTAATTAAAGGTCCAGATAATGAAATATTGAATTGTACGCGTTGTGATTCAAATGAAATTCTCTCAATGCATTGTATGCCATTGCCAATACCATTAAATGATCCATTTTTTCCAATTTATGATGAAAATGGTAAACGACGTTGTTTACCATTCACTCGGTCACTTCTTGGACAATTAAATCTTGGCTATCGTAATCAAATTAATCAGGTATTCTTGTTAATTTTATTATATATATATGAATTTAATAGCTAATTTTTACAAGAAATACGTTAATTTTCTTTTATTTATTTAAAAAATTTTTTTTAATTCCATTTTTAATTTTTTTTTTATTAATTTAATAGCTAATTTTTACAAGAAATACGTTAATTTTCTTTTATTTACTTAAAAAAATTTTTTTTTTTGAATTTAATTTTTTATTTCTTTTTTAATAATTTAATAGTTAACTATTACAATAATGCTGTAATTTTTTCCTATTTGTACTAAAAAATTTTTCTTAATTTTAATATTTTTTTTTACATAATATTTTCATTAAAATTTTTCTCAATTTTAATAATTTAATAGCTGAATACTAAAAAAATACTGCAATTTTATTTATAACAAAAATTTTCTTAATTTTATTTTTTATTTTTTAATAATTTAAAAGCGAACTTTTACAATAATTCTTCAGTTTATACACTTTATGGATAATTTTGTAAATGTTTAAACTAAATTTGAAATATTAAAATATATGTTATGTAATTATTAACTGATTAAAGATATTAGAGCAAAATTAATTTTTATTTAGAAATTTTTCGAAAATGTATTTGTTTAGCAATTAATAGATAAATCATATAACATCACAAAAATTTCTGATAATCTGAGTTAAAATAATGATTATTCCGGAAAATTAACCGGATTTACCGGTTTCTTATATCTAATATATTATTATAGTTAACAGCATATTTGGATGGTTCAGCGATTTATGGTTCCACGGAATGTGAAATGAAAGAATTGCGCACTTTTATTGGTGGTCGGCTCAATAGCACAAATCTTGGCATATTCAATCCGTAATTCCGAATTTTTTTTTTAATTTTCAAAATTTTAGTAAATCATTCTACAACAATTAATTAATTAATTAATTAATTTTTAGTATTAGCTGAATAATTTTGAAATAATAATTTATTATTTCTTAATAGAGAAGCATTACCACAAGGTGATCAGGAGCAGGATTGTCGTTCCAAACCGGATTTCATGTGTTTTGTTGCCGGTGATGAACGGAATAGTCATCAACCGGGTCTAACATCAATGCATAATATATTTTTACGTGAGCATAATCGAATTGCTCGAAAATTAGAAGAAATGAATCCATTTTGGAATGATGAACGAATTTTTCAAGTAAATACATTTTTTATTTCATTTTATTTATTTATTTTAATTTTTACTCTCAAAAATTTTGATATGAAAAAAAAATTAATTAACTAATTAATTTGCAGTAGTAAATAATTGCTAATCATGTACTAATATAATAGTTTGAAAGATAAGATCTATTATAAGATTTATTTTATTTTTGTTTATTTTAATTTCTATTCTCCAAAATTTTAATATAAAAAAAAAAAATTATTTAATAAATTTGCAGCAATAAATATTTGCTAATCATATGCTAACATAATAGTTAGAAAAATAAAATCAATTTTAGATTAATTAATTCATTTCTTAAAAATTAATTAATTCATATTAATATTGTATAAAACATATGCTAATATAATATTTGAGATGAAAAATAAAACAAATTATAGTACATTTCCTTTTTTTTTTTTTTTTGAAATTAGTTACTTCAAAATAATAAATATTTGTTAACTTAATTTAATTTTTATTTAACTTTAATTTAATTTTCATTTTTTTCCTCTTTTCCAGGAAACAAGGCGAATTGTAGGCGCGGAATTTGCACATATAACTTACAATGATTATTTACCATTATTACTTGGAAATCGATTAATGCATAAATATGATTTAAACACTCATAAAATTGGTTACTATCATGGTAAAATTATTAAAATTTAAAATATTTATAAATATTTCAATTTTTTTTTAAAAATAATTTTTAATTTAATTAATTTTTTCTTTTCAAAAAAATATATTTAGCAATAGAAAGCAGATGACAATTGCAATGTCATTCGTTGTTATTTCTAAATTTTAACCATTAATTTTAATTATTTGTAATATTTTTAAAATATTATTTACTTTTTATTTCACTTTTTTTTCTTGAATATTACTTAGTTTTTTATTCCTTTTTTCCAATTTCGAATTATATTTTAACTTAGTTTCAAATTTTCGTCCACTTTTTGTTTCCTTTTATTAATGCGCGTTTAGTGATATAATGATAAATGATAGGAAGATAAAAAATAGTAAGAAAATAATTTTTAACTTATTTTTCAATATTTTTTTTTTTTGAAACTAGTTATTTATAATTTTTTTTTTATTTTTTAATTTTTATTTTAATACATATCATTTTTTAATATTCTTTGAAACTAGTTATTTATAATTTTTTTTTTATTTTTTAATTTTTATTTTAATACATATCATTTTTTAATATTCTTTTAAACTTATTATTTATAATTCTTTTTTTATTTTTTAATTATTATTTTAATACATTTCATTTTTTAATATTCTTTTAGATTTATTATTTATAATTTTTTTTTCATCTTTCTTTTTTTTTTCCTTTTTGTTGATATTATTTTAACATTTTTTTTAAATTTTCTTTTGCTATTCGAATTTTTTTAAATATTATTTTAATATTGGAAAAAGATTTAAAAGTAAACAAAACTTATTCTCCAGGTTATAATGATCAATGTGATGCATCAATATCACATCCATTTGCAACATCTGCATTTCGTTTTGGTCATACTTTAGTTCGTCGATTTTTTCCACGTTTTAATGCATTTTATAAAAATTTCACAGAACCAATTGATTTAGTTGAAAATTTTAATTCTGTTGAAGCAATTTATGATGGTAAACGAGGTATAATTTTTTTAAAAAAAAAATAAAGAATAAAACTTAAAAAAGAAAATAATAATTACTTTATATAATTTATTTTGAATTATTATTGTATTATAATAAGGATATCATTGATATTAATTTATGTTAGCCAATAAAAATATTTTAAAAAAAAAAATAATAAAATAATAATTAATATAATTATGTTAAAATATAATAATTCATGTATAACAAAAAATATTAAAAATAATATATAATAAAATATTAACAATAAATTAAAACTAAATCAATCAATTATTTAATTGATTAATTAAAACTTCATTTTTTTTTTGAATTTTAATTGCTTAAAATCTTGATAATTTCATTGGATTAAATTTTATAAAAAATAAATGAATTATATATTTTAGAAATTAATTTTTTTTTTTAGTTTTAACTGCATAAAATTTTTATAGCTTCGTTAAAAATATGAATTATATTTTAGAATTTTGAATTTTAAAAGTTATTAGAATTTTTTGAAAGCATTTAATACGTTGATAATTTTTTTAATTAGAATAAAAAATGAATTATATTTTAAAAATTATAAGCATAAATTAATTTTATTTAAAATTCTAATTCGTATAATTTAATTTTAAAGGAAGCATTGATTCACTAATTATTGGCTTACTTGGTGCACCATCAATGGCATTTGATAGACATATTACCACTGCATTACGGAATCATTTATTCGGCCGACGTGGTGAACCGTTTTCCGGAATGGATCTTATTAGTTTAAATATTTTACGTGCACGTGATCATGGCGTACAACCTTATAATGCTTTTCGGTATTTATAATTTTTTCTTTTTTTTTTTTAAATTCTTACATTTAAATAATTTCTTTTAAATATTAAAAATTATAAGTAAATTAGTTTATATTTCACGCAACATTTCCTCGTACGTGTTATACGTTAGTGAAGAAAAAAATAAAATAAAAGTTTAATTTTAATATATCTTTCAAAAAAATTTACTTAAAATTTGAGCCAAAAAAGGAAACAAAAGGACGAAACAAATGTGTTTGTTTATTTCTTATTAATTAATTAATTAATTATCATTGCTAATTTTTATTTCAGAATTATACAACTTTTTTCTTCTCTTTCCTTTATTAAGAATTGAATTTTAGAAAAATTGTTTATATTTGTATTTTAATAAAGGATAATTTTAATATTTTCTTTTTTTTTTTTTAAATTTTACTAGTTAACATAAATTAGTTTTTTTTAATTAGCATACTTAAATTATTTTTTGAATTAATATTACAATAAATAATTTTATTATTACTTAAGTGAATTATGCGGTATTGGTAAAGCAAAAGATTTCGATGATTTATTAAATGAAATGGATGAATCAGCAGTTATAGCTTTAAAAAATTTATACAAAACAGTTGATGATATTGACTTGTTTCCTGGATTACTTTGTGAAAAACCTATGGAAGGTAAGTTAAGGTTAAAAAAGTTAAAAATAAAAATTTTAATTTATGATTTTAAATTCAAAAATGCTTCTTGTTTCTTTTTCATTTTTTATTTATTTTTTTTTTAATTGAAAAAATTTTCAAAATATTTTTTGTACAAATTAATTAAATAAAGAAAAAGAAAAAAAAAAATTTTTTTTTCATTTTTACACAATTATTTCTATGATAGTTGAAATGTATTTTAAAAATATTTCAAATTTTTTTTTTTTAAAAAAAAGAATTACAAATTTTTTATTAAATTTTTTTTTAAAAAAAAAAAAAAATTTTTTTTTAGATGCACTTTTACCACCAACAATGGCATGCATTATAGCAGAACAATTTCAACGTTTAAAAAAATGTGATCGATTTTATTATGAAAATGATTTGCATGCAATACGTTTTTCACCAAGTAAATAAAATTTTAATTTTTAATTTCGTTTTTTTTTCTTTCAATTTTAATAAAATATATTTTATTAAATATTTTATTTTTCTTTTTTTTAAAAAAAACGTAGCTAAAATATTAACTAATATATATAAATATTTTGGTTATAATAAAAATAAAATCAATAATGGATCATTCTTCTTTTTTATCATTCAAAAATGATTAAAATTTACCAAAATTTTATTATTTTATTAAAATGTAAAAAAAAAAAGTAACTTTTTTCTTTTGCGCATTTTTTTTTCATTGAAATACGATTCAAATTTTTCAGAAATTTAATTTCAATTTTGTCTATTTAAATTGATATGCAATAGAATGTTTGAAGAAATTTAATTTTAATTTCATCTATTTACAATAGCATTTTGTAATTAAATAAAAATTGTGTTTTTTTTTTGTTTATATTTTATTAAATTCAAATTAAATTATAATAGATAATTTAATATTAAAATTTCAGGGCAACTTAATGAAATTAGAAAAGTTACGCTAAGTTCACTTTTATGCGCAAATAGTCGAATGCTACGAAATATACAGCCAAATGTGTTTTTATTGCCTGATCAATTCTTGTAAATTTTCCTTTTTTAAATTTTATAATTTTATAAAATTATCAATTTACAGCACTGATAATTTCGGTCATCAGTTTACAATTTTTTTTTTTTGGAAAATTTAATCTAATGATAATTTTAATAGTATTAAAATATTTTAATTGATGTATATGTGTATTTAAAAAGTTTGAAGGAAATTAAAAAATACTTAATTATTAATATAAACTAAGCGAAAAGCAACAAAAGTTATTAATAAATTATGGGAAAATGATAAATTATAATTTAGTTAATTAAATACGATTGTAATTATTACTTATTATAATTATTACTTTTCCTACTTAAATAAATGTTTATTATTTCACTCATACATCTCATTAAATTATGAAGTAAATTATTACATAAATCAATATTATTTTAAATTCATGCTATTATCATCATTAATTATTCTTTAAATGGATAATTTCAGTTATTTTTAGCTAAATTATTTTATTTCAGTTAAATCATAAAAAAACAACTTTTTTAATTTCAATCATTAAATAATAAAAACTTTTTTAGAGTTTTAACTTAATAGTAACTTTTATTTAGTTTTAACTTAATAGCAATTATTCAATAATAATTAATTAAATGGATAGCTAAATTAATTAGTCAATTAATCTTTAGCAATTAAAAATTAATTATCATAAAACATCATCATTATGTCAAATTAAATTTGATAAATTTACAGGAATGCGCCAATTTCATGTGCGCATTTTGAGCATATCAATTTAGAACAATGGATCGATCGACGTTTGTTATTTTGTTTTATTTTATTTTATACTATAAAATTTCTTATTTAAATAATTAGTCAAATTTTTTATAAATATAAATAATTAGTCTAAAAGTTTAAATAATTAATTTTTTTTTATAGATATAAATAATTAGTTTAAAAGTTTTAAATAATTAAAATAATTAGTCTAAAAGTATATAATTAAAAATTATTACATTTTTTACCTTTATCCTTCCTTTTTTTTCATTTATTCTTTTTTGTAAAATATAACTATTTATCGATTATTAAAATAATTAGTTTCTTTTGTTCCTTTTTTGTAAAATATAGCAAAAAACTAAATTTCTATAAAAAAAAAAAATAAATAAAATTAATAATTTAAGTAAAAATTTTAGCTCGTTGTTATGTTGGCAATATAATAATAGCACCTGATGAAATCAAACGTATTTCACCTTGTCAATCTTGTACATGTACCGATAATGGAGTATGTCATTTTTTTTAAAAAAAAAAAAAAATTTTATTTTAATAAAAAAATTTAGATAAATAATCAATTTGTGTATGCTTAATGAACAAACCATTATGTAATTGTAATAATTTTTTTTTTTTTTTTAAATAATATAATAATATAAATGTGAAAATTATATAAAATTTGATTGTTTATCTAAATTTTTCAAAAAAAAAAAAAAATATTTTAATAATATCAAACTTTTATTATAGTCAAATATAATTGAGGAAGAAAATAGAAAGTAATAAGTTTTAAAATAAATTTCAATTTATTTTAGTCTCAATGTGATACGATAACAATTAGAAATTGCATAGCATTGTTCAGTCAATATCCTTTTGATGAAATTATGAAGGTTTTGTTTGAAATTTATTTTCTAAAACTTATTTTGTTTGAAAAAATAAAAGAAAAAAGGAAAAATCTTATCGCTTATTTTCAAAATTATCTTTTCATATCAATCAATTTTCTAGCTATTAATTTTTAATTCAATATATTCAAATTAAAAATTAAAAAAAAAAAAAAAAACGGTACTTTAATTTCAGGATACGGCATGTATCGTACAATGTGCTCACCTAATCCGTGAACCAAAATAAATTTCACTGGCTCAGAAATATTTTTTCCTTTTGTTCTTCTTATCAAAAAATAAAAAATATTGAAATAAGAAGTTTAAATATTGTCCATGTCATCGCTTCTTTTTTTTTTTTCACATATACTTGCACTATCACAAAATTTAAATATTCGAAAAATTCCAAAATGGGATAAGATGGTATGGTAAACAAAACTATAATAACTGAATAACTTCTTTATTTCGATGACAATAAATACGGAATTTCGACGACAAAAAAAAAAAGAAAAAAACACGAAATAAATAATTTATTTTGTTGAATATAAACAATTCTTATTGTGCATAAATTATAGAACAAAGAAAATACAAAAGAAAAAGAAAAAAAACGAAAAAAGAAAACTTTCTAAAAATGCTCTATCTATCAGATAAAACATTTGAAAAGTTTAATTTTATTAAATGTTTTAAAAGATTTCTTCACATGACACATCTATCATTTTCTCATCACTTGGAAAAATATCGTATAACACTTAAATACTTGGATATAATCATGTAAAAATTATTGTTTGATGTTTGAAACAAGCAAATCACTGTCAACAGTGTACACTATGAATAACAAGTATAACTCCTTTTTTTTTTCTGCTTATAAACAATTTTCTGGTACATTTTACATTTTTGACAAGAAATTTTTATAGCAAAAAAAGAAAACGAAATAATGGGCTTACTTCAGGTCTAATTATCATTGCCTATAATGTATTTAATCTTTTAATCAATTGGAATTCAGTAAACTTCTTGAAACACTTTACACGCTAGCAACGATGGAGTGGAAAGCAAGAAGATAAGATAATATCAATACGATTCTTACTTACTTACTTACGTCTACTACCGTGCAAATTATTTGCAAAAATTTTAAAATGTTCCTAACAATAAACGATAAACTATTCATTAGATATACAATAGAAAATGTTCAAAAGAATGCAGCTTTATGTGCTAAAGTATAAATATAAATAGTTGAATGAATATTTTTGTTTCACTAATCCTAAATGAATTTATTCATTTTGCTGAGAATACAGTAAGATTCGCTCACAAAATATCTTACATTTCACAATGCTTTGTTTTCCTATGTAAACAAAAAATTCAGTCAGCAAATGCAGCAATCGAAAAGCTAAGCCGTACACGTAACAAGAATCTAAAACAAACCAATTAATAAACAAAATTGCTAAAACTGTCTTATTTGCATAATTATTTGGGCAGTTTAATAATTTCTTATTCTTTGCTACTTACTGACCTCCTACAATAGCCTTAGAGGTATTCTTCATTTCTTTTTCCATGACTTCTGCCTCAGATTGACTTGCATCCGTGGTAGCCGTTGAGCGACGACGTGTTGTACCATCTAACGCTTCATTTATCTGACTTTTACCTAAAACCAAATCTCATATGAAATATTCTACTATTCATTGTGATCCATTATAAGAATTCAAGAATAAAAAAAAAAAAGTAAAACCATAGGAATAGAAAGAAAAGTAAGAAAAAATAAGAGATAGTTTACTTCAAAATCTATAATTAAAAAAACTTACCTTTGCGTGTTAACCGACGACCATCTCCACGACCTTCACCATAAGTATCATTGCCTACATCATTCTGATCGTTTTCCTTCTTCGAATCACCACCCCCATCTTCACCACCATTAGCCAATTTCTTTGCAGCAGTTGGTTGACGTTGAGCTGCAAAAGAAAAAAAAAAAAATAATAATTGGATTATGAACATTTTCAGGTTGTCTAGAGAATTGAAAAAAAAAATCATGAATTACAAGTAGCTTACAAGATCAAAAAAAAATCAATTCAATGTTAATTATAAAGTTCCAAAAAAAAAAAAAAAAAATGCTCGAAATGAATAACCTCTAAAATGACGAAAACGTCGCCGATGTTCAGTATTTGGCTTTTTTATGTCTGCATTGTCAGTTTCTAATTTCTCGTTTGGTTTACGGCCCTGATTATTACGTCGATCTAAATGAATAAAAAACATCAATCAAAAGTCTAATATCACCACTTTTCTCTCTATACCAAACATATCTCACAATAATAGAACAGCTGAAAACTTTTGCCACTAAATGACAACTAAGTATATTAAAATAATAACTAGTTTTGCTAGTCCAACGTCGCCTATCGAAGTAAGTTCATAAAAAAGTATATTACATAAAATGTAACATACATTTCTCACTTTCCTTATGAGCTACTCGTTCACGATTATATGCCATGCGGCGACGGAAAGTGTAAAACTGAAAGTTGTGGTATTTGCTACCACGAACCTGAAGCGTAAGCCAGATTATACTATCTGTCACAAAGAACATGAAAAAAAAAAAGCGTTGTTTAATATCATAAATTTGAATGATGCAACTTTAATACGCTATAGCTTAAGTAAAAAAGATTCATAGCAATGTGCAATTAATATGGTACCATACATTGAAAACCTAAAAATTTTCAAGTTATACCTCAGTACTATTTGGTCCGGTAACATTGGCAGCTTCGGGTCCCTGCTTTCCTTGAACAATATCAAAAAGAACTTCTTCACCATCTCCTAGAGTGCGCAAATAATACTTTATGATTCGGGATTTTGCAATAGCTGTCTGAAACACTAAATTGTATTAACTATTACTTGATGGAAATTTATACCTCAGTTACTTTCAGAATATTTAATACTCATGAAATTATCATTTATGATAATTATACAAAAAAAAAAAAAAAAAGACAGTATCACATATCCAAAGCTTTAACTGAGCAATGTTGTGAAAAATTGACAATTTTCTAATTAGCTTATAAACATACTTGATGTACGAAAACGTCGTTTCCTTTGTTGTCATCACGTGCGATAAACCCGTAATGATAACGGACACTGTACCATTTGACCTTACCCTTTACTCCTATTAAATACATCTTTTTTTTAAAATCAATTTCTACTCGAACAAAATAGGATATCAACATAGATTCAGAAATTATACTTCAGTAAGTTTGTAATATTGATAAAATTGCTATCATCAGTGATAGTTTACAACCGAAGATCAATAAATCTAGCTTTTACTTTTCAGAAAAAAATCAACATAAACGAGAATCTTGACTGATAAAACCTGCTATAAGCAATAATTATTAATCTACCCTTTTCAAGGATGGGCTTTTTCGCTTGTTCCATTTCCCACATAATACGACGTTCCTCATCTGTAATGCGAGAACGTCCTTTCACATAATTGTTTTGTCTCTTGAAAATTAAAGCATTATATTTTTAACGCTTAACAATTTACCAATGATCTAAATTCTAATGAAATCGACTAGTATCATAAATTTGAAAAATTATTATTGGGAAACATGAGAAGATTAAAGAAGAATTCAAACTGTAAAAGATATCATGAGATTACTGGTACAGAGGAATTACTTGAATTAAATTACAATTTTTTGGCAACAAATTATCGTAGCACGAAGAGATATATTCGAAGACATCAATGTAATCAGTGTCAATTCATTCACCACAAAATGATAGCGTAAAAGAAGCGAATATTATTACTTTGTTGATATTTTTAGCATTTTGAATGTTGCCATTTGTGTCGATATTTTCCTTCTTACCGTCCATCTGTAAAGAAAAAAAAAAACATATTTAAATAATAAAATGTGTAAAAATTCAAAAAAAAATACCAAAATATACTTTGCCCTTCTCTCTTTTAGGATAATTATTAGCTTATAAGGAATTAGTGATCGTATACAAACAACAAACAAATTGATGATCATGAAAGAATACAAAAGAATTTGTCCAAGAAACTCTTCAGTGAACATATTTACAAACAAAAAGCTAGCAAATGCTCTGTTAGCATGAAAATCTTTTTGCTGCTTAATTTGAAAGTAATAAGAACTTTTTGTGAGTAACAGTCGAATATGTATAGCATTGAACAAACATTTAACAATAAATGTTTCATTATGTGTATGTAAACAACTTCCTCTCATATTGTTAGTAGAAATTATAAAAACTTAAATCTATCACTATGCAAAATCTAAAGTTTCTGATTTTCTCCTCCACTTTGAGTTTCAGGTAATTAATCTCACATATGTTAACATTGTCAAAACTAATTAAATTTTTGAAATGCTACGAAATTATCAAATTATTTTATCAAACAATACTTTCCATTAGCTAAATAATTTCATTTTCATTAAAGTGAACATAATAGAAGCAGAAAAAGATAGAAAATTATCTATGGCATTGACATTATCTGTGGAGCTATTAGTTACAAAATTCATTGCTCTAAAATTTGCAATAAGCAAATTCAATATCAAAAAAAAAAAAAAAAAAATCCATCGTATTTAAATGATGCATAAAATTTAAATTGGAAAGCATTTTGAAAGAAGTAACTTGAAAAAAAAAAATAGTAAAAAAAGACCTTTTCTTCATTAGCCATACAGACTATCGGTACTGAGACGCTGCTCGACATATTCTTTCGTTTGACAAGTCAAATCGTCCTGACTTATGTTGGATTCGAAACTGCTGTAATTTCAAATATATATCTAAATTTGTAAAAAAAAAAAAGTTTTTTTAAATTTGCAAAAAAGAAAAATTTTCCTTTAAAAGATTTTTCTAAGATAGTATGATTAATTTGATGAGGAATTTGCTTTTTTTTTTTTTCTAGAATTTATATGATTTATATGATCGATAACAGAAAGAAGAGAAATAATGTAAAGTGAATTCACATTTCTTTTAAATCTCAAATTTTAAAATTATTAACAAACTAATTAATCATATACACAATTAACGTCTCAAAAAAAAAAGAAGCGTTTCCATCTTGTAAATATTTGCAACAATGAAGACAGTGTACACGTACGTCATCATACACTTTGACACGTGAATGTAACAGTGAACAGAAACATATTCCCCACGTGTAATTAACACAATAGAAGAAGATAAACAAAGAAATTCTCTATCTCTTATACATAAATGAAGTGTAAGTACACGTATTATTATTATACCTTACGTGTTTTGCACTTGACTTTTCAC